CTGAATAGAGCCTGTTGATGCACCTTTTTTGGACCTTTATATTTTCTACCTCCAGGCTCCTCAATGGCTGCTCTTCTCAGGCAGATGGAAGACTAGATAGGGTGGGAGAACTGCCCAGGTTTTTTATTAAAGTCAAATTTTGCTTTTGCCCTTCTGTGTGAAAGATCACTGCACGGGTTTTTGGGGACCTTTTCTAGGAGTAGGGAGGTAGCTTTGGGGACAGGTGGACAAGAGCTATGGGAAAACACTACCCCTGGAACACTACCAGGAGATGCAGCGGGCGGCTTGGGCTGGTCTTCTCCCCACACTGGCTCTCTCTGCATCCACCTCTAGGTGTCAGCACCACTCTACCAGGGATCTGGAGTGGCTGACGGTGGGGTGCCTTCCCGGGGATGGGAGAGGCCAACATCAGGGCATTTAGAGGAAGGGCCCCAATCAAGTCCTTCCCGGCAAAGAGATTTCTCTCCATTTTCTTCAAATCACTCCTGGTTAAACAGGAATTTTGAATCAGCACTTTTAGCCCCAGGAGAAGGGCTGGATGTGGCCTGGGGAGCAGATCTCGGGTGCCTTATCAGGAACGGTCTCTTAGAGCCTGGTCTGCAGAAGACCCATGTTCCAGACACTTTGGGGGCGGGAAAAGTAAACATAAACCACATTCATTTGAAGGGCTGAGTCCTCATGCCTGCCTGTATTTTATATGGATGCTGAGAAGCAGCTAGGGCCAGGCCTGCTTTGTTGAAGGACAGGTTCAGCTTGACACCGAACAGTGTGTTTCTCATGCTGCCTGCATTGTGTCCTTGAGGCTGGATTTCGTACAGCATTCTTACCAGGAAAAGCAGAACGGTAGGTAATGTGAGTCCTGTGTCCATTCAGAACTACCTACTCCATGTCTTCATGAACCATAATAAAGTTCATGAAAGGGCCTTGTACTGGCAGAGTGCTATATTTGAATGAGCCCCCCTCCCCCCACACATGTGAGTGCACATGAGCATTAAAGGAAATTGTATATGTGACAGACATGTATATGTTTATCCTTGTGACTGAAGACAGAAGTTGGAGAATTCAGATCCTTTGCCACAGAGAGCTTCTTGAGGCTGGGAGCATTTTGTGCACTTTGTTTCTGTACTGGGTACCTCTGCCCGCCTCCTTCATTCTTAGGGGACAGTGGGACCTGTAGGAAGATTCAGTCTGCTTTGCATTTTGCTGTTTATGTTTGTCACACTCTTTTTCTTATTGTCATTTTAAGTGAACTCAAATAAAATTGGAGAAGGCTCTGATTACTCTTCCATCTGACCATGGCGATGTTTGCTTCTCAATGTTCACACTCTTGCTTTGTTGGGGGGGCTGAGCCTGGCAGTCCTCTTGCTATAAAGCTTGTGGGTGCACAGCCCCACACTGCCTTAGCAATAAGCTTTTCTGCCACAAATGGGATTGAGATTCCTTCCCAAAGACACATTTGGATGCAGAGAAAAAGGACAAATAAAATCTCTCAGAAATCTTGATGGGAAGAGTTTTGCTGCATGGCTGGGTCAGGAAGAATCTGCTCAGATATAGCTGTGTTCCTGAAGGATCCTTATGAGGAATAACTAAGGGGCTGCTCTTGAGATTTCATTGATCCTCTTTAGATATTGTAAATCACCACACTCACTTTTGCAAATTGGCCCCCTGACATTTTCATCAAATCCAGGGAATCGTGTTAGAGTAAACTCTGAAAAGTAATATATCAGCTAATGTATATGCTCATATGACTTTTATCAGGCTCAGCTCCTGAGGGAAGCATGATGGAAAACCCTGGAACTGAGTGTGTGGAGTTGACTAGCAGGTGATGCCTCCCAATTAGGGAACGCAAATTCAGTGCATCTGATCATTCATTGATTCATGTATCCATTCAACATTTCTTGAGTGCAAATCACTGTGCTAGATGCCATAGCCCAAAATACTTAGAATAAATTAAAATTTAATTTAAAAATTTAAAAAATCTTGGCCGAACACTAATCATTGATTTCTTAGAGAATCACTTTATAGCTCATTGGCTCAGAGGGGGCTGTGGAACTCAAGGCCAAAGTTAGTGCTTAAGGAGCTGTGAGAAGAGAATCCATGCTTATGTTCAGGTTATTGTCTGAGGCTTACTAACCTGAACTTGTCATTAGGTTCCTCCCTCCTCCTTGAGTTGCTCATCAAAATTCTGATAGCCGTGGGCATTGTGGCGACTAGTTAAACCAGAGACATTTCCTAGACGTGAGTTGAAGAGGCAAGCCTTGGGAAATAATTTGAATGTGGAAGGTCGACCTTGTGGTGTAGTGCAAGGGACCAGAGGGTACTCAGGGAACTCAGCTGGGGGGTGGACATCCTTTGCCTACTGCAGTACGTACCTACTAAGTCAGCAAGCACTTGCTCACTGCTTGTGAGAGGGAGAGGTATATCTTATTTTAATAACCAATCAGGTCTTGGTGAATCTGAGTGATTAGCTGTTTGGGACTGTGTTCTTTTAGCTCTGAGGTTATTTTCTTCTTGGGTTCATAGAACTTTTGAGTTCCTTCTGGATCCTACAGGTCATCTGATCAAATCCACTCATTTTGTAAATAAGGAATCTGACTTCCCCAACTGGAGATCTTTTACTTTCTGTCATGCTGCCTTCTACACTTAAGATAAACAGCTGTTATGCTATAGAGGCATTTATTTCCTCAGCATAGGTATGGTGTATGCTAGGCTTCTTTGATCTGGAGGCAGGAGAGGCACAAATTTTTTTGTTTGTAATGTTCTTGTAAGACGATAAATAGGATTTTTCCTCCCTCTCTCTGCAGGGGCCGAGTTTAGCTCTGGCCCTCTCAGCACCCTGGGGAATGCAGCCTTGTTGAGAAACTTGTTTCCTAGCTTAGTTCATTTCAAGTAAGTGAGGCAGTCAGCCACGCTGATGAGATTCAGTTAGGAAACAAAGAAATTCAGCAATGCAAACTGACACACTACAGAAAAGAAAAAGAATGTTTTACACCCTACTCCAGGGATCAAACTTTGCATTAAGTGGCCCTGACATCCCTGGCCGGAAGACATCGGGTTGTTGGAAGGCTCTGTGAGCTCCAGAAACAAGGGGTGCATTCCTTCTGGGTCAGCTTGCACACCCATCCTCCCGCCAATGCATCCTTGGATTCCTTCATGCCCGAACCATTACTCCTCCTCGGGCAGTACATTTTTAACTCTCTGGCTGGTCTGGCCACTAGTCTCTCCACCCCTGCACTGTACCCCCTCAGTTCAGAACACATTTTTTTCCCCCAACAGGGAAAAGCATCAGTAGAAACACCTGTGTGCTGATGCTCAGGAATGCAGCTGGATCAGCCTGGATCAAGCACCAGATGTAGGAAAGCCAAAAGTTAGGTGGTGCAAAGTCTCTGAATGCAACATGGCGGTCAGCCTGCCTGCAGAACTTAGGTCGCACTGATCTGCTTTATGTTCTGTCTCTGCTTTTCCTGCTATATGACAACAGGATGCCGCTCTCTTCTCTTAAACAGACCAATATAGTATTTGCAAGCCGCTGCACTCATAATCCTGCTGTTAACAACTCAGTGCCCACAGCAGCCTTTCTTTGGGGTAAGCTTACCCCAGGGATGTGAGGCTCTGATTTATAATTGCTGTGAGGTTAGGACCCCACCTCTGGCCACTCTGTGTAGCTGCTTCTGCAGTATCTACAAACACCCTTAAGCCTTTTTTTGGTAGAAATGTTCATGACGATATACTTCTGCTAAAGATAGTTCAGAGCTTTCTCTTGTACTGGCTTCTCCAGTTTTTTAAGCTTGAGAGTTCAGGTGACAGCTTCTTTAGCCTGGTATTTTCTCTCTGTGGAAAAAGATTTCTTTGCCCCCGGAAATTTTCCTTGCCTTCTGGAAGGATTTTCCCCCCCATTTATATGTTTCCTCATAAAGAGCAAAACCATACTTTGCAACACTAAAATGAATCACATAGGAAAGAAAAATCAGCTCTCAGCGTTTGGGAGTATTTTCTAAAAGAAATATTTTTGGAGTTTCCTGCACCTTCACTAAATTTGTTCTCACTCCTTTTTCAAAGTGTCTTGGCAGTGCTGCTGTTTGGAGGCACAGTGTTTTACTCTGAAGGGCAGATTGATCTCTTGCAAAAAAGTAGGTTCAGCCTTTCCAAACTAAATCATGGGTTTCCTCCCACAGATGAGAACTGGCTGCCAGCACAGTAATTGCAACACCTGTAAGCTGCTTGAGAGCAGGGTCTGTATCTTGTACCATATTTTACCTAATGTAAGATGCCCATCGGTTGTTGTGAGATGTGCTATTCATTTTGTACCACTGACAAAGAAAATATACTTCATGTTCAAATGTATCGGTAATCTGTGTCTAAATCTGTGTCTAAGCATGAACAAAACAAGGCCAGATTGTACTTCAGTAGTCTCTGGCACAGTGTCTTACACATGGAGACATAAAATGATAGTTTGTCAGATGAGAATATGAATGACAGAGGACGGCAGGGATCTGGAAATTGGACGAATTCCCCTCCTCCTCCTCCTCCTCCTCCTCCTCCTCCTCCTCTTCTTCTTCTTCTTCTTCTTCTTCTTCTTCTTCTTCTTCTTCTTCTTCTTCTTCTTCCTCTTTCTTCTTCATAAAAGGAGAAAGCTCTTTTCTAAGTGAATATGTGCCACTAGTTTATTAA